TGTAACCAAACTATGTGTAAAAAATACTATTTTGTAACCTCCTGAACTGGATACAAGATAAAGAGTTATGTAGCATATGCATATCTGGTTGTAATAACATGAAAACTACTGTAAATAGCTATTTTGTACTATATATGACCTTGATGGGTCTCACCACACCGGCTCGCTCTTAGTCTTCACGGATGGCTCTTCGGTTACCCGGGGACCGGTGCTGGTGCCGCTGCGGCGGCCCTAAATTGTTCTTTTGCTGACTCAGTTAAAATTTCCAATCATCACTCGATTTCTAATTATGAAGCTGAATTGGTAGGAATAGGGATAGCCATCAGATTGATCAAAAAGATAATCTGGTCAGCATGGCCCGGAAGGTTTAAAGCGGTTGCTATCTTCAGTGATAATCAGGGAGCCCTCATCAGGACAGCTGACCCTTCACAGCCCTCTCCAGGGCAGCACTTATACGCTGATAACTTCTCCTCCCTCCGCAACTTAGGTTTGCCGGTTTCCCTGTATTGGTGCCCGGGCCATGAAGGGATTACCGCGAACGAACAGGCAGATAAGATGGCCAAGTCCGAAGTGCAGCTCTCAGAGAAGGAAATAACTTCTACAGCCCTTTCTCGCCAGATCCCAGCCAGTCTCTCGAAAACAAAACAGAATAGCAAACCCATGTGGGACAGAGGTCCCCTGCTTTCACCAGAAGAGCAGAAAAGGTTCCGATTCAGACCAGACCCTCGCCCCATCATCGCCGCTCTGGAAGAGCAGGCCAAAGGAATCACCGCAACCATCCTTCAACTCAGAGCAGACCACGCTCCACTTAATCATTTTCTCTTCAAAATTAAACAGGTTCTTGACCCAAGATGCACTAACTGCTTAGAAAGGGAGTCAGCACCCCACTTTCTTATGTTTTGCAAGAAATACAGGACAATCAGAAGAACACTCAAACGGCGACTCAAACAGACAAAATGTGGGATCAACACCGACTCTTTCCACGCCATAATGGACAATCCAAAGGCCTTCCCGGCGGTGGCAGACTACATCCTGGCTACTAAACGATTCCCCAACATCACGACTTACGACAAGACTCAAGACGACAAAACCCAACGATAGGAGCATAGCAGGCACCTTCCTGGTCATCGCTTTTCTCTCTCCAAAATTTTCTACCCATTTTACGTCATTGTTTTCTTCATTCTCAGTTTCTTTTCCTTTTGTTTGATCATCATGCAGATTTCTTCCTTTACAGTTTCTTTCTTCTCTTAGTTTCTCGACCATCGACTCATTTAAACTTTTCACGACTCCTACCTTCTTATGTATGTACATGCCGATGAGTCAGAGGCTTCTCTTCCGAATCCTTGAAGACCGCTGCGACACTGGTACTACAGGGGGAGTAGTACCGGTGCTCGCTAAGCTTTCTGGCAGAAGTGTGGGCTACTTCATTGCCGAAAGTCAAACCTCTTGGTGGGATAGGCCTAGGAAGGGGCGCCTCGAGCTCTGACGCTAGCCTAAATTCTCCTCCCTTTTCCTTATCTTCTTCTTTTCTCTTTTCTTTCTTTTTTTCTTTTTCCTTTTTTTGTTTACTCAATCACTTCACTCAACATATTGTCTGCTTCATTTATTAGGGAACTGTTTATGTTATATTACGGTTCAGGTTATGTACATACAGAATACAGTTGTATATAGTAAAAATCACTAGGGCCTCGTTTGGCCGTCCATGATCGTCATAAACGATCATGGCGAATATATCGGGGGTGCACAGCTGAAGACGGGGCCTCACGATGGTGTTTGGGAGGCCACGTCATATCCACTTTTTTTATTACGGAAGTGGTCAGCGAAATATACTCCCTGCCAATTCCAACATTTTGGGTCCCCCCAAAATTTTGCGTCATAAGTCCTCACAGCGAGGTTGATGAGGATTTTCAGGCTGCGTCATTTGCACAGCCTGGAATCATCAAACCTAGATTTTGATTTAACGATTGGAGACGACGGCCTATTACGATCGTGGACGGCCAAACGAGGCCTAGGCTATAGTGCGGTATGTGAAATCAATAGCACTTTAAAAAAAAAAAAAAAAAAAAAAAAAAAAAAAACTGCCGACCATCACTTCGATCACTCACCAGTCACCACCAACACCACCACCACCACTCTATCTTCCTCGGCCGCCTTCCTCACTTCTCACCATCATCATCTCAAACGGCGAAGGAATCTGATCTACTTCAACAGGACCACTCACAATCCATCTCAGTCCCCAGTCAACCTCGCCTCACATAGCCCTCCTGAACAGGCCCTCCAATGGAAACCAATACACTCAAAACTCTCGCTCTCCCGCCGGATAGCCCTCTACCAAGCACTATCCAAAGCCCGCCTCTCATCTCTCATCACCCTCACCACGATGGCTAGCTACGCTCTCTCTCCGATCACCGCCGCTACCCCGCCCAGCTCATTGACAACCCTGCTAGCCACCGCAACCGGCACGTTCCTCTGCTCAGCATCCGCCAATACGCTCAATCAGATATTTGAAGCCCCAATGGATGCGCAGATGTCGAGAACTCGGACAAGACCATTGGCCCGTCGGGTGATCTCGACCCACCATGCCAGTGTCTTTGCGACTGTCTCCGGGCTCAGCGGCTCGCTCGTACTCGCAACGATGGTCAATCCGACGACGGCCTTGCTCGGTGTTTCCAACTTGTTCCTCTACGCTTTCCTCTACACCCCTCTCAAACGGATCTCGGTCACCAACACCTGGTTGGGTGCACTCGTGGGCGGATTGCCGGCGCTAATGGGTTCCACTGCTGCCGGCGCATCACTCGGACATCCCGCCAGTTGGCTCACCGCCGGCCTACTCTACGTCTGGCAGTTCCCTCACTTTAACTCCCTCGCACATACCCTCAGGAGGGATTACGCTCGCGCAGGCTACATGATGATGTCCAACCTCCATCCCGCCTTGAATGCCCGAGTCAGCCTCAGATATGCACTCGCCGCGATCCCGTTATCTAGTTGGCTGATCCCTTACTACGGCCTCACTACTTCCACCTTTGGCTTCCTCAGTCTCATCCCTAACTTGGCACTCATCATTCCCGCCGTTCGTTTCTGTATTGCCACCCCCAACGGCCCACTCTCTCAAAAAATATTGAGCTCATTGGCCTCCTCTCCCATTCATCTCCTCCGCTCTATCCCTAAAATCTCCGGCTCATTCGAATCCAAGGCTCGTCAGAACAGGAAGCTAAGAAATTATTCTGGGCTAGCTGATCCATCTTCCTACTCTCTTAATCCTAATGATGCTGTAGACCCTCCTCCTCTCTGATACGATGAAACAGTTCCCTCGCAAAGCACACTGATA